AGGTGTCACGTGCCCAACGACTGAGGTCGATTATCACCATAATACTTGTAGGAAATGTCAGCTTGCATAGGTGGGCAGTTGATGTTGGCGTGCTCATGTGGATTAATGAACAATATTCTTAGGAGATGGTCGCAAATCATAGCAAATCTCCATCGTATTGATGATAACGCAACCCGTGTTCACTAGTAAGAATGTCTGAAGCTGAAGGAAGTTGGTGATTGATGTTGATTTTTTTCCCTCGCAGGAAGTCGTAAGCGACAGACGGGAGAACCTGGCGTGGGGGAAGAAACTGCTTAGCCTCCCTACCCGTGGGGTGATGGAGTCTTCCCACTTAGATGTGCTGTCTGCAGGAAGAGAAGAGAACCCATACGCGTGTGATACATGTGGCACAGATTCGCACTAGAGAAGCATCTGCAGACCCACTATAGCTCATTCACACAGGAGAGACACCCTATGCGTGTGATATTTGTTTATTATTCATGTTCTAAAATTAAGTTTGTATGAAAGTGCACTTTCAAACTCACACAGCGGCAAAAGCCATATGCATGTGACACATGTGACTACAGGTCGCCTCGAGCTAATCCCAGTCCTTAAGACACACATGCGTTCCTCACACGAGAGAGATAACCTATGCGTGTGATACGTGTGATTATAGCTGCTTTCAAAATGTCTTGCCTCAAAGCGACACAAACGCACTCATGCAGGCGAGAAACCGTATGTGTGTGATATTTGTTCATATTCATATTCTCACTTGAGTCGTCTGAAGGAGCACTTTCGAACTCACGTTTGGGTGAAAGCCCTATGCATGTGACAAATGCGAGTACAAATGTACGTCCATCCTCTGCTCTTCAGGCACACAAGCGAACTCACCCCAGGAGTGAAACCCTACAAGTGTGACACATGTGACTACAGGTGCAGCTCAACTATCCAATCTTAAGACACACAAGCGAATTCACACAGGAGAGAAACGCCTATGCGTGTGATACATGTGACTACAGGTGCCGTCACCTATCCAGTCTTAAGACACACATACGAATCAACACAGAGAGAAGCCCTATGCATGTGATACGTGTGACTACAGATGCTCTGAAGTGCTAAACTCAAGCTACACAAACGCACTCATAACAGGAAGAAAAAACCCTACGTGTGTGACATTTGTTCATATTCATATTCTCACTTGAGTATATGAAGGTGCACTTTCGAACTCACTCAGAGAGAAAAGCCCTATGCATGTGACAAATGCGAGTACAAATGTACGTCATCCAATAATCTCAAGAGACACAAGCGCAGGCATAGCAGGCGAAAAGCGTTATGCTGTGAACACATGTGACTACAGGTGCGTTACAATCTATCCAATCTTAAGACACACAAGGGAACTCACACAGGAGAGAAACCCTTTGCATGTGATACGTGTGATTATAGATGCTCTAGTATGGCTCACCTCAAGGAACACAATGCGCATTCACAAGGCAGGCGAAAAGCCTTATGCCTGTGACACATGTGACTACAGGTGCGCTCAACTATCCAATCTTTAAGACACACATGCGAACTCACACAGGAGAGAGAAACCCTATGTGTGTGATACGTGTGATTATAGATGCTCTAGTATGGACCAAGCTCAGGAACACAAGCGCATTCAACACAGGCAAAACTGAGGCTTTCAGATTTGAAAAGTACAAGAAGGACTAACTAATGACTCCCCTAGAACACCATAGGGGGACTTTTCACGCTCCATAATCACACACCTTAAGAGGCATGATGGAGAGCTCCATTAAAAAATCACACCCTAATGAGGCATGATGGAGAGCTCCACTAAAAATCACACCCTTAAAAGCTGCCATTGTTTTAAGATACGACGAAGGGTGTATGAAACTGCATTCTCATTGGCTACTGAACAAGAGTTGGGCTAGAATAGATACTCCAGTCAGGGCTCCGCGATCCATTGCAACTCTGTGGACAGGGAAAACTAGCCTCAAGACCACGCGCGTGACGCGGCGGCTTTTTGATGTACACGAATCGATCGATCGCGTACTATATATACGCCTGCGTAGCAGCGCGCGCAATACACAACAACACACACACTTGCAGCGTCGCAAATAAACGCACAACTACTGGCCCAACGTCTGACAAATCTCAAACAGTGAACTAAGCCGTGTCTAATATTGTAAAGCAAACTATATTACAATGGTATTAAATAAACGGTACTGTTAGTAGCTGTTGGACTGTAAAATGAAATTTGTACATTCCTAAGCCCCCCTAAAATTTTCTCTCACGGATTTAGACGTTTTCACAAAATCGACCCTGGGACTGTGAAATCCGCGGATTTCCGCGATCCGCGAAGATTCTCATCCCTGTAAAATGGAGCGCTATTTCAACCATAATACACAGACATTTGGTGCGCGATTTCAACCACTTTTATGAGGCGCGAATGATGCGCGCACCATGGCCACAATTTATGGTGGGCGCGTGGAGCGCGAGCGCGATCGCGCCCCTTAAAAATGAAAGCCTGTCTAAGACAGACAACACAATACATGTACACGCGACCACAACGATGCACTAGAACCATGCAGTTACTTTAAGTCGAAAAAAATTTGACTTCCACAGAAGTGGAAATCCGCATAAGTCGAAGCTTTTCCTCCAGTCCTGTTGGATTCGACTTAGGCGAGGTCGATTGTATCATACATTACAGTATTTTTTAGCTCATCTGACGTAGTCAGATGCAGCTTGTAGAATCGCATGAGCGTGCGTCCGGCCGTCCGTCCGTCCGTCAACAGTTGGGCACAAATCTAAACGGCTCGACGTACGGATTCGAAAGCCGGGACGTAGGGGGGGGGGAATCCGAAAACCGAGTCGGGATGTCGATAGCTGGGGTCAAATGTCAAAGGTCAAGAGGTCTAAAAGAAGGGGGAACATTCCCTCCTTAACTTAAGGTATAGGGAGGAAATGCAGAATTGCGGCACAAAATCTAAACGGTCGACTAGGCTCTTGGATAGTCGGTGTAATAGCATCAATGGTAGGAAAACCATCACTGCCGAAATTGGAGGTCACAGGTCAAGGTCAATGGGGCACAGGGCAGATTTTAGACATTTTCTGAGGACATGGTCTGACGTAGCGATTGAAAAACTTTTTTGTTTCAGCGGTGGTGACGACTACCATTTTTATGGCTTTATTGAAAGGACCATGAAATGTGGCTTTCCACTGACACGTGTGAAGAGTAAGTGTCTGATACCTTTTGACGCTCAAGAGGAGGGTTAAACATGGAATTCCTGAACTGCCTCATGATGTCACAGTGTTCTGATATTCATAGCACATCCATAATCTGGAAACGCCATATAATTCTCGATAGCGCAAACGGCTACAGGCACAGGATACGCTCAAAGGTCCTTGAATCGAATCCCTCAGATTTTTTATTATTTACCTGTTTTCTGTATTTTTCTATCTTTTATCCATTTAACTATTTCTTTCCAATTAAGGAAAATATTTACATGATTTATTTACAACAATTTCATAACACAAAATAATTTTTACAACAATTATTAAAAAAAAATAAATAGGGTTAGGGTTAAGGTTAGGGTCACAATGCACCATAAAACAGGAGTTTCAGGCACGCGATTTGTATCAACCAATGGGATTTGGGAGGTATGCAGAATGCAGAAGGTTACTGAAATGATGTGTACGCACTGCGTATTCTGCATATTCTGCGCCTAACAAAAGTGTCACTACGCACGACTTAAATGTTACGTTTATAACTGTAGCAACAGACCTCAGATGAGCCCAGACGCTCTGCGGCTCTTGTTTATAATAGGCCTACAATATTCTAAAACCTATGTAACACTATTGTAAATGCTTATGTTTTGTATAGCTTAGATTTACTGTCTCGAAGCTGTAAAGTAACCAAAATAAATACACAAAAATGAAATAACGTGTCATTTCGTGAATTTGTGCAAATTTCATTAAATTGAAAAAAATAACAATTTTTTTTGATAATCGATTATTATTTTGCATAATAATACATTGACTTTCGATTATAATCGATCACCGGGACATCACTACCAGTCTGTATGTGTTTCGTGTGTGTTTTATTGTCGGATTTGTTTAGCGTTATTACGTAGCAGTGTTTTTACGGATGCCTCTCTTCCAACAACAATTGCCTATACATACATGAGAATTTTCCACAGATCCACGGATTTCTACTAGTTTAATTATTTTTTCAAGCAGAATGAGAAATTGCCTAATTCGTTTAGATCTGTTGAGAACGAAGTGGGCGGGGGTTAGGTTGAGGTTATGCCCATAGCAAATGAATCTGACTTCATCTCTTTATGAGGCAGGGGAAGTTATCCGGGGTCATATATTTCTGTCCGCAGGACGACCGAGAGAGGAACTTGCATCAGGGAGGAAAGTAAGAGAGGAAACTGCATCGAGGAGGAAAGTGAGTGATCTCGATCACCGCCCGCTCGATGGAACCTTCTCCTCTTCCTTCTCTGAAACCGTACGTGTGTGACACGTGCGGGTACCGATGCTCCCAGAGTCAGCAGTTGAAGGAGCACGTGCGCACGCGACACGGGAGAAAACCGTACGCGTGCGATGTATGCGAAGTTAGCAGGAGTTCTCAGCTGGCGAGTCTCCAGATCCACGCGCGCACGCACACGGGAGAGAAACCGTACGCGCGCGACATATGCGGCTCCGCCTACACTACCTCCAGCGACTTCAAGAAGCACTTTCTCACGCACACGCGCCAGAAACCGTATGCGTGTGACGTGTGCGAGTACAGGAGTTCTCGGCTGGCGAATCTCCAGAGCCACGCGCGCACGCACGCGGGAGAAAAACCGTACACGTGCGACATACGCGGCTCCGCCTACACCTGCTCCAGGAACCTCAAGAAGCACTTTCTCACGCACACGGGCGAGAAACCTTACGCGTGTGACGCGTGCGGGTACAGGACTTGCGCCCACTACAGAAGCCTGAAGACTCACATGCGAACGCACACGAGAGAGAAACCGTACGCGTGCGATGTATGTGAGTACAGGTGTTCGCAGCCGGCGAGTCTCAAGAGACACGCGCGCACGCACACGGGAGAGAAACCGTACGCGTGCGATATATGCGGCTCTGCCTACACCTGCTCCAGGACCCTCAAGAAGCACTTTCTCACGCACACGGGCGAGAAACCTTAGGCGTGTGATATTTGATCTTTCAGGTTCGTATCCTCGAGCGAGCTCTCGAAACACAAGCGCACGCAGTCGCACTGAAGAAAGCTCATGTACAAGCAATCGGGAGTGATGTGATGGACGGGTCTTTGGGTTAAACAGCTAATTCGTCAGACGTTAAACATGTGGATACGGATTACGGATGCACTCTCTCCAGTAGACGCCAGAGACGTTCATGCTCATACAAGAGAGAAAATCCTGGAAGCCCCTCAAACAGTTCTCCCCCTCCTTTTCCTCTCCTCTCCCTCTCTCGCTCTCCCTCCTTCCCTCCCTTCCTCCGTTCCTCCCTTCCGCGCTCACTCCCTTCCTCTCTACTCCTGCTTACCAGTGAGCACGGGAGTGTAGTGGTGGATGTCATTCACCACCAGCCCCTCTAACAGCTCTCCCTTTCCTCTCCTCCTCTCCCTCTCCTCTCTCTCTCTCCCTCTCCCTCTGTCTCTCTCTCTCTCCCTCTCTCCCTCCCTTCCTCGCTCCCGCACTCCCTCCCTTCCTCTCTACTCCTGCTTACCAGTGAGAACGTGAGTGTAGTTGTGGATGTCATTCAACCCCAGCCCCTGTAACAGTTTTCCCAGCTGCTCTAGCACTCTCTATGCCGGTCGAGTTTGGTTCTATTTTGTTTTGTTTTCCGATCCGCATCAGTTCGTCGCATTTGTAGGTAGTGGCATCTCCTGGCGGTCGCGCTGCTGCGTGGTACTGTCGACAGCGCCCTCTTGCTGTGTTCTGCACAAATATAAAATTGCCAAAGCGTAACTTTGCCAGGGAGCAGCACAAGTCGCACGGTGCCATGGCAGCGCCCAGTTTGCTTATTATTGCTGTCTTCAAAATCTCATAAATCAATGTGTACATCTAATAAGAATAATCTGTAGTGATGTAATATTCTTTTGCAATAAGCATAATAATATAATACTATCATATTCTACACCATCAATGGCTACTGTTTCAGTCTTAATTTGCACCCTGTGGAAGGCCGAAGAAGTTTATTTAATGAGTCTACGCGCTATTTGCTCCCCAATCGTGCAAATTTCACTTTCTTTGATATCTTGTAATTTTTCGAGTAATATTTAAAATTAAATGTATGCGTTTTTAATTTTTATAAACTTTCTCAATAAGTCAATTAGTCAGTTCTTTAACTTCTTGTTGTTTGTGCACAGCGGCGTGCGTGCGGTGTTCTCATGTGTTGCAGAGGAGCATTTTAACGGCATTTACAGGAAATTATCGGCAATAATAGGCGAAAGAGAGGAGAGAAACATTAAGACTTTGGTAGTAAATACATTTCGTGTTTATTTAGCATTATTTTTGTTATTGAGACGCCTCAAGTGCCTGTGGATAGAAGTATGATAAGCACACTTAATTGTTGGCAATGCAGTCATCAAAATAGGAGACCTCTTATCAGAGTTTGGATAACTGCAATGGGATAAGAAATATAATATCATATGGGTTATATATCTATGAATATTAAAAGCGATAAATAAAACTGTTATATCTTGTTATATCTTCTATCTATGACGTCCCCGCTAATGCGCCGTTCGAATTGTTTATTATAGCGCTCGTTAGATGGCGCGCACGACAATACAAATGGCCTCACCCGTTGTGGAAATATAGTTTCACAACTTCGAAGGAACTGTGCCGAAGAAGAAGGCAAAGTTAATACAATTGATAGCTCTGCAATGCGGTCATATCGTCAACAACGACATCAAAAATTTAATTTGCTCTCTGTATCTGATATTCACTGATTTTACAATTACTGACGAAGACTGTACGTTGCCACGGTCCCTTGTAAATGTTGATGGGCGATAATTTTAACAACGTTTATTTAAACAATGTTACATGTTAATCGTACATCTGTTTCAAAACACTAATTGAAATATGACATATTTTGTTTTCGTATTTACAAGATCACGTATGAAATAAAATGTTCTGTAGCAGTTTATTGGCACCTAGAATCCATGAAAATGCGTTACTGTATCCCCCGCGATGAAGTCGGCGGGGATACTATGGTTTCATGTCTGTCCAGCCACCGCTGCCGCAGGGACTTTCCCTTCCACTCTATAACTCCACCCTTAATTGACCTAGCATGACAAAACTTGGTATACTTACACACCTTGGGGAGAAGGTGTGTCGCATACCAAAACCAGGTCACTGCGACCTTTATTTGACCTTGACGTTGACCTTGATCATATTTTCCTTCCGTTCTATAACTCGGCCCCCTAATTGACCTAGCGCGAGCAAACTTTGTATACTTGCACATCTTTGGGGGAAGGTGTGTCGCATACCAAACCAGGTCACTGCAACCTTTATTTGACCTTGACCTTGAAATTGTTTTGTTTTTTTCCACTTTATAACTCGGCCCTTAATTGACGTAGCGCAACCAGACTTGGTATACTTACACATCTGAGGCAGATGAGCTGTGTAACAAACCTTTGTCTTTGTGACTTATTTCACTTTACCTAACTTGTACATCCTTACGGAGATATTTCATTCATACTAGATCACGGGGGATACATGTAGTTGGCGACAACTGCCATTTCTAGTTTTATAGCATATTCCTAAACGAAATTCAAGGCCATATTTCCCCCAAAACCCCATCAGTGCCAGCGGGACTCCAATAGGACATAGGTGTCACGGTGCCCAACGACTGAGGTCGATTATCACCATAATACTTGTAGGAAATGTCAGCTTGCATAGGTGGGCAGTTGATGTTGGCGTGCTCATGTGGATTAATGAACTAATATTCTTAGGAGATGGTCCAAATCATAGCAAATCTCCATCGTATTGATATAGACAACCGTGTTCACAGTAAGAATGTCTGAAGCTGAAGGAAGTTGGTGATTGATGTTGATTTTTTTCCCCGCAGGAAGTCGAACGACAGACGGGAGAACCTGCGTGGGGGAAGAAACTGCTTAGCCTCCCACCCGTGTGATGGAGTCTTCCCACTTAGATGTGCTGTCTGCAGGAGGAGAGAAACCATACGCGTGTGATACATGTGGACACAGATTCGCACTAGAGAAGCATCTGCAGACCCACATGCTCATTCACACAGGAGAGACACCCTATGCGTGTGATATTTGTTTATATTCATGTTCTAAATTAAGTTGTATGAAAGTGCACTTTCAAACTCACACAGGCGAAAAGCCATATGCATGTGACACATGTGACTACAGGTGCGCTCAGCTATCCAGTCTTAAGACACACATGCGTTCTCACACGAGAGAGAAACCCTATGCGTGTGATACGTGTGATTATAGCTGCTTTCAAATGTCTTGCCTCAAGCGACACAAACGCACTCATGCAGGCGAGAAACCGTATGTGTGTGATATTTGTTCATATTCATATTCTCACTTGAGTCGTCTGAAGGAGCACTTTCGAACTCACTTGGGTGAAAAGCCCTATGCATGTGACAAATGCGAGTACAAATGTACGTCATCCTCTGCTCTTCAGGCACACAAGCGAACTCACCCAGGAGTGAAACCCTACAAGTGTGACACATGTGACTACAGGTGCACTCAACTATCCAATCTTAAGACACACAAGCGAATTCACACAGGAGAGACGCCTACTGCGTGTGATACATGTGACTACAGTCCGTCACCTATCCAGTCTTAAGACACACATACGACTCAACACAGGAGAGAAGCCCATAGGCAGGTGATACGTGTGACTACAGATGCTCTGAAGTGGCTAAACTCAAGCTAACAAACGCACTCATACAGGAGAGAAACCCTACGTGTGTGACATTTGTTCATATTCATATTCTCACTTGAGTCATATGAAGGTGCACTTTCGAACTCACTCAGGAGAAAAGCCCTATGCATGTGACAAAGCGAGTACAAATGTACGTCATCCAATAATCTCAAGAGACACAAGCGCAGGCATACAGGCGAAAAGCCTTATGCATGTGACACATGTGACTACAGGTGCGTTCAACTATCCAATCTTAAGACACACAAGGAACTCACACAGGAGAGAAACCCTTTGCATGTGATACGTGTGATTATAGATCCTCTAGTATGGCTCACCTCAAGGAACCCAAGCGCATTCACACAGGCGAAAAGCCTTATGCATGTGACACATGTGACTACAGGTGCGCTCAACTATCCAATCTTTAAGACACACATTGCGACTCACACAGGAGAGAAACCCTATGTGTGTGAATACGTGTGATTATAGATGCTCTAGTATGACTCAACTCAAGGAACACAAGCGCATTCACACAGGCGAAAACTGAGGCTTTCAGATTTGAAAAGTACAAGAGGACTACTAATGACTCCCCCTAGAACACCATGAGGGGACTTTTCACGCTCCATAATCACACCTTAAGAGGCATGATGGAGAGCCCATTAAAAAATCACACCCTTAAAGAGCATGATGGAGAGCTCCACTAAAAATCACACGCCTAAAAGGTCTGCCATGTTTTAAGATCGACGAGAGGTGTATGAAACTGCAATTCTCATGTGCTACTGAAACAATGCGTTGGGCTAGAATAGATACTCCAGTCAGGGCTCGCGATCCATTGCAACTCTGTGGACAGGGAAAACTAGCCTCAAGACACGCGTGACGCGGCGGCTTTTGATGTACACGATCGATCGATCGCGTACTATATATACGGCCTGCGTAGCACGCGCGCATACACAACCACACACACCTTGCAGCGTCAAATAAACGCACACACTGGCCAACGTCTGACAATCTCAAAACAGTGAACTAAGGCCGTGTCTATATTGTAAAGCGAAACTAATATTACAATGGTATTAAATAAAGGTACTGTTAGTAGGCTGTTGGACTGTAAAATGAAAATTTGTACATTTCTAACCCCCTAAAATTTCTCTTCAACGGATTTAGACGCTTTACACAAAATCGACCCTGAGACTGTGAAATCCGCGATTTCCGCGGATCCGCGGAAGATTCTCATCCCCTGTAAAATGGAGCGCTATTTCAACATAATCACAGACATTTGGTGCGCGATTTCAACCACTTTTTATGAGCGCGATGATGCGCGCACCATGGCACAATTTATGTGGTGCGCGGTGGAGCGCGAGCGCGAATCGCGCCCCTTAAAAATAAAGCTCAAGACAGACAACACAAATACATTGTACACGCGACCACAACGATGCACTAGAACCATGGCAGTTACTTTAAGTTCGAAAAAAATTTGACTTCCACAGAAGTGGAAATCCGCATAAGTCGAAGCTTTTCCTCCATCTGTTGGATTTCGACTTAGGCGAGGTCGATTGTATCATACATTACAGTATTTTTTAGCTCATCTGACGTAGTCAGATGCAGCTTGTAGAATCGCATGAGCGTGCGTCCGGCGTGCTCCGTCCGTCAACAGTTGGGCACAAATCTAAACGGCTCGACGTACGGATTCGAAAGCCGGGACGTAGGGGGGGGATCCGAAAACGAGTCGGGATGTCGAAGCTGGGGTCAAATGTCAAAGGTCAAAAGGTCTAAAAGAAGGGGGAACATTCCTCCTTAACTTAAGGTATAGGAGGAAAGCAGAATTGCGCACCAATCTAAAACGGCTGTCGACTAGGCTCTTGATAGTCGGTGTATAGCATCATGGTAGAAAAGCCATCACTGCCGAAATTGGAGGTCACAGGTCAAAGGTCAATGGGGCACAGGGCAGATTTTTAGACATTTTCTGAGGACATGGTCTGACGTAGCGATTGAAAACTTTTTTGTTTCAGCGGTGGTGACCTACCATTTTTATGGCTTTAATTGAAAGGACGATGAAATGTGCTTTCACTGACGTGTGAAGAGTAAGTGTCTGATAACCTTTTGACCCTCAAGAGGAGGGTTAAACATGGATTCCTGAACTGCCTCAATGAGTACAGTGTTCTGATATTCATAGCACATCCATAATCTGGAAACCCAATATTCTTCGATAGCCAAACGGCTACAGCACAGGATTACGGCTCAAAGGTCCTGGATCGAATCCCATCAGATTTTTTAATTATTTACCTGTTTTCTGTATTTTTCTATCTTTATCCATTTAACTATTTCTTTCCAATTAAGGAAAATATTTACGTGATTTATTTACCACAATTTTATAACAACAAATAATTTTTACAACAATTAATTAAAAAAAAAATAGGGTTAGGGTTAAGGTTAGGGTCACAATGCACCATAAAACAGGAGTTTCAGGCACGCGATTTGTATCAACCAATGGGATTTGGGAGGTATGGCGAATGCAGAAGGTTACTGAAATGATGTGTACGCAACTGGCGTATTGGCATATCTGCGCCTAACAAAAGTGTCACTACGCACACTTAAATGTTACGTTTATAACTGTAAGCAACAGACCTCAGATGAGCCCAGACGCTCTGCGGCTCTTGTTTATAATAGCCTACAATATTTAAAACTATGTAAACACTATTGTAAATGCTTATGTTTTGTATAGCTTAGATTTACTGTCTCGAAGCTGTAAAGTAAACCAAAATAAATACACAAAATGAAATACGTGTCATTTCGTGAATTTGTGCAAATTTCATTAAATTGAAAAAAATAAAACAATTTTTTTGATAATCGATTATTATTTTGCATAATAATACATTGACTTTCGATTATAATCGATCACCGGGACATCACTACCAGTCTGTATGTGTTTCGTGTGTGTTTTATTGTCGGATTTGTTTAGCGTTATTACGTAGCAGTGTTTTTACGGATGCCTCTCTTCCAACAACAATTGCCTATACATACATGAGAATTTTCCCACAGATCCACGGATTTCTACTAGTTTAATTATTTTTCAAGCAGAATGAGAAATTGCCTAATTCGTTTAGATCTGTTGAGAACGAAAGTGGGCGGGGTTAGGTTGAGGTTATGCCCATAGCAAATGAATCTGACTTCATCTCTTTATGAGGCAGGGGAAGTTATCCGGGGTCTATATTTTCTGTCCGCAGGACGACCGAGAGAGGAACTTGCATCAGGGAGGAAAGTAAGAGAGGAAACTGCATCGAGGAGGAAAGTGAGTGATCTCGATCACCGCCCGCTCGATGGAACCTTCTGCCTCTTCTTCTCTGAAACCGTACGTGTGTGACACGTGCGGGTACCGATGCTCCCAGAGTCAGCAGTTGAAGGAGCACGTGCGCACGCACACGGGAGAGAAACCGTACGCGTGCGATGTATGCGAGTACAGGAGTTCTCAGCTGGCGAGTCTCCAGATCCACGCGCGCACGCACACGGGAGAGAAACCGTACGCGCGCGACATATGCGGCTCCGCCTACACTACCTCCAGCGACTTCAAGAAGCACTTTCTCACGCACACGCGCCCAGAAACCGTATGCGTGTTGACGTGTGCGAGTACAGGAGTTCTCGGCTGGCGAATCTCCAGAGCCACGCGCGCCACGCACAGCGGGAGAAAAACCGTACACGTGCGACATACGCGCTCCGCCTACACCTGCTCCAGGAACCTCAAGAAGCACTTTCTCACGCACACGGGCGAGAAACCTTACGCGTGTGACGCGTGCGGGTACAGGACTTGCGCCCACTACAGAAGCCTGAAGACTCACATGCGAACGCACACGGAGAGAAACGTACGCGTGCGATGTATGTGAGTACACGGTGTTCGCAGCCGGCCGAGTCTCAAGAGACACGCGCGCCAGACGCACACGGAGAGAGAACCGTACGCGTGCGATATATGCGGCTCTG